CCACAATGCAGTTTGGCGAAGATTAAAAATCTTCTACGTCACCCCATTCAAGTGAATGGGCGAAGCTTTGAAAGATTTTTTTCATGCCTGTGTGTGGACGGGCCGTACGCCTTTTTGTTTCCCTTTGTACATAAAGTTAAATTACCATGACTAGTTTTTGTCAATGAAAGGGAGTGTGAATTTGTCTATATGCTATTATTACGTCACTGTAGATCGACATATGTCATAATCCTGCTTTGGCTGGGATTCACTCCACACACGCTACTGTACAGAAGTAGCACCAGTTGTCCCACAAAACACCCTTAATTAAAACAATGGTGTCTCTTTATCCGCATCCTCTAACTCATTATCTGCTCACACGTTTGTTGGCTTCCTCTGCACATTACTTTATTTTAAAAAATCTGTAAGTGCTGACTTCAGTTGTGCCTGAATCCGTACGACACAGAGTGCTACGTCTGTTTCATCATTATTTTGCACACACAGGCCAGTCAGCAATTATTGGCCACTCAATAAATCAAAATTGAGCTGTGCGTCTTGCCGTGTGAACTTTGCCCAAGTGATCTTGAGCGATGTTCATTTTGCATTTCAATAAGGATTTAATTAAGTCTTAAACATCTCAAACGGTGCACTGCTGTAGTTAGAAATCCCCCCCAATCATAGAGTGATGACCTCCAGACTTATTCAACATAAAACTAGTCATTTATTTCATTCTCACTGCGTAGGATTGACTCACTTTTAAGAAAGAGTGGCATCAGCTGACTACGTGGGGAAGCTGAATACAACACACTGTTTACCTTCTGTTCCTCTGTGCTCTCAGGCTCTGGAGGACAGACCCAGCTCTCTGTCAGTGGAGCAGGGGGACAGCAGCTCTCCCTCCTTCAACCCCTCTGACAACTCCCTCCTCTCCTCCTCCTCCCCCATGGACGAGGTGGACGAACGCAGGAACAGCGTGCTCAAGAAAAGACAGTACGTCTGTTTCATATCTCTATATCACAAATATCACAGACACTGATTTCTTGAATCTTATCTAAGATGTCTGTTCTTTTCTCCGCTGTAGTTACATCCTGCTGGAGTTGGTGGAGACGGAGAGGGATTATGTCAGAGACCTGGGCCTGGTGGTGGAGGTGAGGCGACGCTTTAACAGCTGTTTCACTGCTTTTACATCCTTAACTGTCTGAAATATAAAAGTGTTTTTTTAATAGTTTTTTCCTGTATGTGGCACAGCCTATATTCTAGACTAGCTTTTTGTCTTCGTTGGTGCGCTGCGCTGAGATTGTAATGCGAGCAAATAAATGGCGGCTTCACAAAAGTTTTCGGGAGTTTGACGGGGCGTGGTTTGCATTCCGCCCAGCCAATCAGACACAGGAACCTTTTTCTCCCACGAAAGTCCCTGCTCTCTAGCAGGAACTAAAAAGGGGTAAAAAAGGTTGTCAGGAACTAATTTAGTTCCTGGGACTTTTTGGTGTGAACGCAACTAAATAGTAGTTCTCAGGAACCTTTCTTGGGAAAAGTACTTATGGTACTAATGGAGGAAGTACAATACATTTCCTGTCCTTTACAGACACGCTGTTTGTTTTTTATTTCAGCTTCATTATACAAACAAATACACATTTTTGTCTACTATTTTTCTTTCCGTTCATCTGCATCAACACAGTCCATACAGACAAAAGAAAACATGAAAGAAAAATGAGAATATAAAGGGAAATAAATAACTGAATAAATACATTTGGACTTTCTTCTTAAAAAATAAATACAAATATATTTAGGAAAGTCAGCTGTTATCTACACAGTCCAGAAAGAAATAAGAATTTAACAAAAAAAAATTACATTTGGACATTTATACATTTTTAACCCTAACCCCTTTTTTTATAATAACATGAATACATAAAATGTAATTTAGCTGTATTTACACAATCCATAAAGAGAAAGAAAACACAAAAGATATACGAATATAAATGGGAGAAAAAAAATACATGAATTCAAATACATTTTGGAAAAGAAAGAAAGGGGCTGTGTGGAGACCCAAGTGTGAAAGTGTAAGCCACTGTCCCCTAATACACTGCAAATTGGTGGAAGCCGGGATCCCCTCACTTGATCAGCACAGTTATCCATAAGTGGTATGTTTGGGGGGACGCGCTGTTATTAATGTGTGACTGTGTTTCCATCTGAAGGGCTACATGACTCGGATGAAGGAGGAGGGTGTCCCTGATGATATGAAGGGAAAAGACAAAATCGTGTTTGGCAACATCTACCAGATCTACGACTGGCACAAAGAGTACGTACACAGAGTACGCTGGAGTGATTCAACAACAACAAAAAGGATGAACAGAAAGAGGAAAAGGAAAAGAGAGTTCACTGAAGACACCAGGAGGGTCAGAGCAGGAGGAAGCCAGGAGGAGATGAAGAGACCAGGAGGGTCAGAGCAGGAGGAAGCCAGGAGGAGATGAAGACATTAGTGAAGAAGAAGAAATGTATGTGAGGAATAAAGAGGAAGTGTCAGAAAGAGGGACAGAGGCAGGGATCAGGAGGCAGATGAGACTCCAGCTGGACCACATGGAGAATACTTTCCCTGTTCAGATGTTGTAGCACAGTAGCTAACTCTCCTCTCTCTGATGCGTTTAGCTTCTTTCTCGGGGAGTTGGAGAAATGTCTGGAGGACCCCGACAGGCTGGGACCGCTCTTTCTCAAACAGGTTCGTCTGCAGTCAATTTAAAAATGTGTCTTTATGTTGTACATGCTTGTACACATTTAATCGTGTATTGTGCTTTTCGTATCCAGGAACGGAGACTGAACATGTACGTAGTGTACTGTCAGAACAAGCCCAAGTCGGAGCACATCGTCTCAGAGTACATCGACACCTATTTCGAGGTATGAGCCTACAATTTTGGCACAGTTTTTTACTTGGAGACACATCAGATGCTACAAACCTGCCTGTAGTTATCAGTCTCTGAAGTAACCTCTGACCTTTGACCCGGCAGGACCTGAAGCAGCGGCTGGGCCAGCGGCTGCAGATCACAGACCTGCTCATCAAGCCCGTCCAGAGGATCATGAAGTACCAGCTGCTGCTCAAGGTCTGTGTGTTACAATACAGCAGGGGGCGCCAGAGCTGCCTTTTTAAATACATTTAAAGTGTTTGGTTTTAAGTTGTACCTGTTTCTCTCCTGGGAAACTATAACGTGTCAAAGTTGGATATACTGCAATGAATACTCAATTTAAAGTACTAAACCTCGAGCATTTTAATGTTTGAGTAAGAGTAAAAGAAGGTCCTACTTGATGCACTTTTGAAATGAGGACATTGTTAAAGTCATTATTTTATTATGAACCTAGAACCTAATTTGCATTTTGATGACAGAAAAGCTACGAACATGTTTGTGTGTGCTGTGAATTCTATTTTTTAGAAAGAAAATCAGCTGGTCAGACTTTAAAGAAAATCTGAATAGTAAAAAAATAATTGCTGTTGTTCTACCTCTAGTTGTAACTGGCACTTATATGATACAGTATGTCCCTGTCACCTGCTGTCTTTAAATGTACATCTCGGCCTAAAACAAAAACATTTGCACTTCAGTAAGCAGTATATTACTCACACTATTTTTATTTATTTTTTAGGATTTCTTGAAACACTCTAAAAAGGCTGGGCTGGAGTCCATGGAGTTAGAGGTAAGAGCATCACACTGTTCTAAATCACTCAAATCAAATCAAACCAAACATGTTCTGAAGTCCCTTGTGACCTTTACAGAAAGCAGTGGAGGTCATGTGCATCGTGCCAAAAAGATGTAATGACATGATGAATGTCGGCCGCCTTCAGGGATACGATGTAAGTAATGTCCATCAAAAACACGTTCTTCTGTACCTTAGTAACAGGGGCGGATCTACGGGGATCCCCTCCAGCTGCCCCCCTAACTTTTGTTTCCCTAAAACTGTACTTTTAGAAACAAACCTACACTATTTCCCCAAGCTTCTCAAGCAACGAAACAAGCAATACATTAATTAAAAGTGAATCATTTTAAATATAATTTTAGACCCGTTAAAAACGTAGCTATGGCACTGCATTAAACTGCGGAGCAGCGTTCACAGACCGCGGCTCACACCGCTGCAGAGATGGAACGAGCTGTCCCAGCACCTAGGGTGGATCAGCTTCCCCCGGGAGCATTTCCCCTTCCATTAGTTTTGTTTTTACTAAAGACGAGAGCTTGAAACAAAATATTAATAAAACGCTGCTTTTTGAATCGATAGCGTTAAACAGACAGTTGCTGTTTGGGACGTAACGATACAAAATACCACACAGACAGCGCTACCTGGGAGATCGATCACTTTTATTTGCTAAACTATGCGGTACTATTAAATCCATGTAAATTACACATCACAGCAACAAGGCCAGATCAATGAAACCAGGATACATCCTTTACCGTCAACTGGGTCTAAACACAGCTGCCTGTGCGTTTGATAAATACTTTCTGATTTTATATTGATTATAGGCTATGCTACTTATCAGCTACATGGCCCTAACGTGTAAAGCTATACAAGAATTTGTACCAGTGCTTTTCCCAAATAGACTCAGAGTAGCTGGAGTGATTCAACAACAACAAAAAGGATGAACAGAAAGAGGAAAAGGAAAAGAGAGTTCACTGAAGACACCAGGAGGGTCAGAGCAGGAGGAAGCCAGGAGGAGATGAAGAGACCAGGAGGGTCAGAGCAGGAGGAAGCCAGGAGGATATGAAGACATTAGTGAAGAAGAAGAAATGTATGTGAGGAATAAAGAGGAAGTGTCAGAAAGAGAGGCAGGGATCAGGAGGCAGATGAGACTCCAGCTGGACCACATGGTATGTTTGTATTCTCCTTGCATACATATTCCATCACAGCAGCACAATCTAGCAGCTCTTAGTATTGACACATATTTATTGAAATGTGTTGCTGCACAGGTCACCTTTAGCTCTCTTAAGAGATGGGTGATGTCATTTGTGTACTTAATTATTACTAAGTACTTTGACTGTGTAATCGGGTGCCTTTTGGGTCTTCAAATCTTTGAAAAATGAAACCAAAATGTTTGGTCATAACATCTGGTAGTGGACTAGTTACATTTTCCCACCTCTGGAACAACGTATAAATAATTACTAGGAATTTCTTTGAAAAAATGTGACATGGTTGAAGTTTTTGACAAAAAGTAGCCATGAGACCTTTTCTAGCTAAGATATGGCACCACATGGAAGTCAAGGACATTACAACATTGTAACATTTAGCAAAACTACTGTTTATTTTGTAATAAATAATTATTTACTATTATTAATTCATATAACAGAGTTGAAATGTTGAGCTTGTCAATCTTAATCTGAAAATACAAAAACTGAAACATAGGTAAGAGAAGAAACTGACACTTGCCTTTCTTTGCCATCTTTCCTTCAGAAGACTTTTGTGATGTAATTCCCTCAATGCAGATGACACATGGACTGATCCATTATTTTAATAGGAGGGTAAATGGTATGGCTTGACGGGGTTGAAACAAACTGAGGGACGCGTGTCAATATTGCAATTTCATAGATAATTCAAGTATTTTTTCCGAATTTACTTTTGACCAGTTAAAATTGACAAGCATATGATTATATTAGCAGCAACATTTTGAGATAAGTGGCCATTTTGATTTGTTTAATATTAAATTAATATGTAACAAATAATGCTTAGTGAGGACATGCAAATATGCCCGTTGTCTACTACTAAGACAACCAATTTTTTTTAAACTAAATATATATATATATTTAGTTTTACATTGTAATGCAAAACAACCTGTTCCCTTAATTCATTGCTTTAAAATACATTTTGGAGTTTCCTTTCATTTAAAATTGTTGAAGTAAGCTTGGGGGACTCAAAGGGCACCCGATTGTTTGTCTGAACACCTTGTTTCTCTTGTGCATTAAGAACACTTGTGTTAGGGCATGAATTAACAATAAATAGGTTATATACAGTAAATACCACGTACTGTCCGCCCTCCTTTGCCACCCCATGTAAAATATTCTAGAACCGTCACTGCTTAGTAACAACAATTTTAACTCGATTGTCAGTATCGTTCTCTTAGATTCTTTACCTGATCTTTCCATCTTGTTTCGTCTCCAGGGGAAGATCGTGGCTCAGGGTCGCCTCTTGCTGCAGGACACGTTCATGGTGTCCGACACCGAGGGTCGGAGGAAGGAGAGGAGAATCTTCCTCTTTGAGCAGGTGGTCATCTTCAGCGAGCCCCTCGACAAGAAGAAGGGTTTCTCCTTACCAGGCTTCCTCTACAAGAACAGCATCAAGGTAACAGACATGCATATGAGGAGCAAACATGTCTATTACTACTGTGTGTTGTCAGGAGGAAGGATGTTAGAATTAAGGATCTATGAGTTAGTGAAAGGGTTTATAGCTCCCTCTGGTGGAGAAACTAGCCTGTGACACTCAATGGAGTCACATTCAGAGACATGTAGATACTGGGGCTGCATGAGATGAGGACACATAATATATATATAACATAGATATAACATTGTTAAATATCCTGACAATGATATGAGTGAACTTAAAGATATACTAAGAAAAATGTAGTTTATTTAGTAAAGGGAATATTCTGTCCAGAAAATTGAAGTCCAAACACCGATTGATAAAGAAACGAATGCCATTGGTAAACTCTCAAGCTCATTAATGACTTAAAACTGCCTGGGCCACATACATATGTATAGTATATATAACGGCGACCCCCCCCTGCAGGTGAACTGTCTGGGTTTGGAGGAGAGCATGGACACTGATCTCTGTACCCTCATCCTCACTTCGCGCTCCACCAACGCCCCCCTGGAGTCCTTCGTGCTTCACTCCGCCCACCCAGGGGTGCGCGAGGTGTGGACCCTTCAGATCGGCCAGATCCTCGAGAGCCAACGCAACTTCCTCAACGGTAGACTGACACACACACATACATATACACACACACACACACACACACACACACACACACACACACACATACACAACACACACACACACACACACACACACACACACACACACACACACACACACACACACACACACACACACACACACACACACACACACTGTAAGGGAAAGCAGCCCACAGATAGCCTGGGGCTTTCGGATATACAGGAGCATAGTGATGGTGTGTTCAAGGACCCCCGTCTGTTGCAAAAACATACTCCTGAGATTTTTTTGACACCAACAGATAGAAAACTCCCTCAAGCATAAAACATTATCTAAAAAAAAGAAATAGTGGATACCTTGTATGCGAAACACTGCTGCTCGTTTACTTTTTTCTTGAGCAATGAGAGAGTGGAGAACACAGGTCATGTTGTATTGAAGGGACTGTGTGTTACATGGCCGCCCTTGTGGTTTCCTTTGTGTCTTATCGCAGCTCTGACCTCACCAATAGAGTATCAGAGGAACCATGTGGGGGCCAGCGGGGGGCCGTGTGTTGGGGCTCCGGGGGGAGGCAGCAGTGCGGCCCCTGCAGTCGGAAGTGAAAGCCCCCAGCCCTCCATCCCTTCAGGGCCCCAGGGTGGCTCTCGCCGGCCCTCCAGGATCCCGCAGCCCTCCCGCCTGCCCCAGCCCCTCCGCCACCCCCGACCCCGACGGCCCCAACAAGATGTCAGGTACGAACCGTCCTTACTTTTTACATTTCTTTGGTGTCGCACAATGAAGGATTTGACTGAGGTGTGAGTTCTGCTCACTTATGATTCAGGTTCATCCCCAAGTCCCGCCCCTCCTCCCGCCCTCCCTACGGGGGGAAGCCCCCAGGGAAAGCGCCCCCTCCAGACCCCTGAGGACCCAGCACTGACCCCCCCTCCTGCCGGTGCTGTAGCCTCTGTTCCCCGCGCCACCGTCGGGCCCCTGCCCTCCACACCCACTTCCAAAACGCGGCCAGGAGCCGTGTCCCCCTTGGCCCCCCCTCTGGCCACTCCTGCCTTTGGTAAGGACGGCCTCCCTCCTCCCCCTCCCAGCCCAGGCCTCAAAACCGGATCCGGGTTCTGGAGCTCCATGCCGGGCTCCCCAGCCAGCCGGCCTGGCTCCTTCACCTTCCCGGGGGAGGCGGGGGAGAGTCCGGTCCGGCAGAACTCCTCCCAGGTCCAGACCGGCTCTGGATCTGGGAGCCACAGACACTCCACGCACAGCAAGGAGGCCGACCGCATGAGCACGTGCTCGTCGGCCAGCGAGCAGTCCATCCAGTCCACCCAGAGCAACGGGGTAAGAGCGGCACCAACTAACCCC